TGTTATTTTGAAAAACGCGTAAGGAGTATGGTATTGTGCACTTTTTCCCAATTTTGCAGTGAATATTTGTCATGATTAAGCAGTTTTGTTTGATAAAATTTCTAGCATAAGTGTAATTCGGCTAGTAGATTGTTGGAAGAAGTGTTCAGTAGATAAAAAGAAAAGAAACATGTCTTTACTTCGTGAAGACAAAATGGCGGCGGGGAAAAAAAATAGAGGGTTGCTGTAGGAGAGTTGGTTGCCAAATTTTCGCCAAAAAATCGCCAAGTTACCATAATGTAAAGATCAACCAAATTTATTTTCAGGTGCTGTCTTGATGTTCCAGTGTTGCTGATCCGTGTTTACAACACAACCACCAGAGGGCCTCACCGATGCGCCAGCAGCGAGAGCGAGGTGAAAGAAGAGTACGAAATAGAGAGTCTTCTATCCCACGCAAAGGTGGTAAGATGTCTCCACGAGAAGGTGGTTAAATAATGAACTGTATGCTTCCACGAGGAGGTGGTAAATTGAACTGCATAATACGACAGCCAGTGCGAGTAGGCACTAAGCTACTACATTATAAAATAGGCAAAAGCTATTCAGAATCCTGTTTGTATCAAAAGCACTTGTTTAATTCAATCTGTACCTTCTTCTGATTTTTTTATTAAATGTTCTGTGGTGTGGAAAATGTTGGAATTGTTATTTAGCATCTTCAACTCCCCTACTACATATATTTATTAAAAATCCTCTCATCTAAGTGTAGCTGGGGGCACAGATGAACATTCCTAGTCTTGAGATAAATTTTTGCCTAGTATTTTATCCAGGTGTCACATGTAAAGAAGTCATTTACTATGGAGTGAGAAACAGTTGAAAATGGACAGTGCTCTTATTTAAAATAAAAGTAGTTGAAAATGAAGCCTTTACTTACCTTTAATTAACCAGTTCAATGTGCTAGAATGACAACAGCTGGATAAATGATAACATTTACAGTCAACCCATTGATTTTTCACATACCTGATACTTTTTCTATTTCACATATTCTTTCAGAGCCAGTACTTTTGCAGATGACACAAGACGGAACAACACAGGGTAAACTTAATAAAACAGGTTAATAACAAGATAAATATTACAATGCAGAACCTCCAGACTACGGCAAATAGAGAAATAACTCAGCAAACATTTTACCGACTCCAAAGTGCTTTGTTTATCTCTAGAAGCCAGCCAGCTTTAATGCCCACTGAATATTATTGAGATACTAACCAGACCTCACTAAGTGCCTTGCAATGATGTTTAACAAAGAGGGCTGCATTATGAATTGTTACATAATGTGCCTGCTGATGTATCTTCATAAAAATTCCTGCACATTATTAACACAATGCCACATTAAGCAGGCACTGCTACTTTAGGTGCATAAAGGAGCTGCATGACATTAGCTAAGAGTCTTTTATGTCTCATTACTTCAATTTATAATAGTTAAATAAAATATTTATCTGTAGGCATACTTGCCAACCTATGACACTCAAAAATCAGGAGATTTTTTTAAGAAATCGGGAAATTTTTCACAATGTTAAAAAGACTTTTTAAATGATGAAAATATAGTTTTTAATAATGAATTAACTTTAAATAGTAACTAATTTTTAAATGCAAGCAACACAAAAATACCTTACACATAAAAAACATTTTTATTACTTGCATCGATTAAGAAAAAAGAAAACCACTTTAATTAATTTTCGTACAAATGTTAGAAACGGTGGCAGATTTTGCTTTCTTTAAGAAAGAAACTTCACAATTTTGTTCGTAGTAATTGCTTGTAGGCCTGCTTTCGCTAATAAAAGCTTTTCTAATGCGTCATCACTAATATTAGATCTAAATTTAGTCCTCGTTTTCGCAACAATACTGAAAATTTTCTCACACTCTGCATTATTATGGGGAACTGTCAAGATGGCCAACATAATTCTAGACAGCTCACTATATTTTAAAATTCCATCAGCAGACATTCTGCATTAGCAACTTTTTGGTCCTCTGTTTCCGAAGAAAAATTTTATTTTTCGTTTTTTTCAACACAACTCATGTTGTCCTTGTGTTTTTGTGTACGCACATGTTTGAGAACATCCGCCCTTCCACCATGCGAAATCGAAAATCGCAACGACAGGCGGTACACATCACAAATTTATTATACTTCCTTGAGGAAATAATGGAAAGAAAGTCAATTGTGTACGATTTTTGAAACGTACATGAGTATTTCACCTTTCTGGCAGACATAACAAAAGATGATAATTTCTAAAACTATTTCCCTAAGGCACGTATACACAAACAACTCAGGACAAAATGACCGAAATAACTAAAGAACATCCAAATAACAGCTTGCTTTGCCCTCATTGGCTAATTAATATATGCCAGATGACACGTAGTGGAGCACGATGCCCCCATTGGAGAACTGGAGAACGACGTTTCTGGATACGTATATGCTCTGCTCTCACTTACAAAGCAGAAGTTTTCTAATTCGCAAGGTTTTGTTTTAGATATAACCTAGAGAAAATTCAATTGCTTTCAGACTGCCAAAATCACTTTTTTTTTGTTTTTGTTTATATAACAAAGTATTAAGCCAAGTTCCATAAAAATCGTGAGGAATTTTAAGAATAAGAAAAAGTCGGGAGAAATATATTGTAAATCGGGTTGGCGGGAGAGCGGTCGAAAATCGGGAGTCTCCCGCCTAAATCGGGAGAGTTGGCAACTCTGTAGTAGGTTATGTTCATGACTGAAACAAATAGGAAGAATTGGCCCCACATAATATACCCCAATATAATACTAATATAAAAGTCTGTCAAAGGAAGTCCTCCAAAAAGAGCACTTTCTGAAAACATACAGTTCTTATGTGAGATTTAAAAAAAAAAATTAATAAATCTTAATATTAAAATTAACACTATAAATGCCTGCAACCTATACGGGGCAGATGCGAATGTTCATGGGAAGATATTTTTTTTGGTTTATTTGATTATGGAAAACCACACAAGGGCTTTCTCTCCAATGAAAAGGATGTCTTCGTGGAGGACTTTCTAAAACAATCTAGCTCTTATCCACATTACATATGGGAAAAACCCTGAAAACAGCCAGGCTGTTCATCTGGAATCAAACCCAGGTCAAACTACCAGTGTTCATTGACTTTACCACTCAGCCACTGGTGGTCCCATGAGAAGATGGATGCCATGTTTAAGTAATGTACATCTCCACTAGAACTACTAAGTGATACAAATTTAAGGCATTTTGTCTTCTTTTTTAAAATGAATACAGGAAATGAAAATACTGATTTTGATTATACTGATTAAATAAAAATGTAGTAACATTCCATTTAAGTGAACTTTCCTCAACAAAAATCCAACTTAGGTAAAATAACATTTAATGAACGAATCCCCAAACCAGTCTGCTTCAATTCTTTCTATAAGTTAGTTTCCAATTCTAGAGTACCTGTGCATTTTATAATGTAAGTATGCCATTATGGTAATAAAGCAATACTACTATTTTTGTATGTGGCAAAAACAATAGATTGTGAAACCAGGAGATGATTACTCAAGTAAAAATTAATTGATGCGATATATTATTTAAAATTAGCTTTCTACTAAATTTCCTTCAAAATGAATCATCTGCCAAAGTTAAAGCTTCAAAGACAAGCAAAAATTCTGAACAGTACAGCAATGGAAGCAGAAATTTATCATTATTTATGGAGATCATGTCAGCTTAAGCTGTTAATTTATACTTCTAATACTTTTTTTTTGGCATTTATTTAACTTTGTTCACAGAACACTGGTTTAATTTTTTTAATATAGTAATTCTTATAAAAATTAATGTTAACAAATTTTTTGGAAAAATGTGTAATTAAAATGAAAATAAAAATTTCAAAGAGGAAATTCAAAAGTGTATTTTATGCAAAATGTATTCAAAAACATTTTCCAAAACATGTGCATAAAAGTGAGCTATTTCCACAGTTTATAAAATTGAATACAAACCATGTATATCCCAGGATTTACATGTAATCCAAAATGATTCCACCCAGTGAATTCATATAAATGGGATTCTACCATAATTTTTCTTAAACATATTCTCTCGATTTTGACTGCATGTTATGTAAGTATGCATAATAACTTTAAAATCAAATAAAATTTCAAGCGACCAGATTTTAGTAGAAAATATTATACTGTTTTGCCCTTCCAGAAAACTTGAGCTGCATAATGCATTCCATGGAAATATAAAAATTTTCTTTCATGCATATTCAATTTGACTAGATTTACAATATAAAATTTATATATAACACAACTGTAAAGTTTATTTAGGCATCCTTCTACAAAAGAAACAAAATTAAAAAAATTTATTCTTTCTCTTATTATTCCAGTTTCAAAAATTATTAACAAAATTAAAACACACACTGACAAAATTTATCACATTTCCAAGTTTAATAAATATAATTACTTAATGGGAAAACTATAATTCTCTATAAAAATTGGTTCAAGCACTAAAATGGAATAAATAATTAAAAACTTTTAACATGAAATTTCATGTAAAATCCCATTTATTTAATACATATCTTCAAAAATGAGCAATAAATATGTCTATTTAACAATTGCATCATTTTCATATACAGTAAGCTTATTTACAAAAATATATCAGTGCACCTTGGTAGTTGAAAAATAAACAATCTTTTATATTATAAATATTCAATTAATGAAAACTTTCTTTTCCCCTTCCTCAGTTTATGTATTATCATACATCTATCACTTACCTGAACCTGAAAACTTATTACCTGAAAGCAACAATGGAGATAGATAAAAAAAAAAAAAAAAAAAAAAAAAAAAAAAAGGGAAAAGTTAAAGTTATATTCTACTTTTATTTAAAAAGAAAGACTTATAAAATACAAGCATTCAAAAGAAAACTTGGGAGAAAAAAAAAAAAAAAAAAAAGGAAAAGAGTGAGAGAACAAGAAAGGGGAAAAAAAAAAAAAAAAAAAATGTTTTCAATCTTTGCAAAAATTAAAATGAAGGGAAAAACTCAAATTTCACAAAAACAGTTACCTTTCACAAAAAGCTATTTGTGATGACAAAAAGAATTTATAGCTTAAGTATAATTTAGAAAATTTTTAAATTATATATTCACACAAAATCTTGGGTATAATAAACAATCAATCAATAAAAATTTATACATAAATTAATCAAAATTTTCCGTAACTTGGCTATACAACAAAAACAAGCACATACACATACAAATAGTAACAGGGTTAAAAAAAATTAGAAATAAGATCATATTTTAAAGGCAAAATAACTTTAAAATATCAAAAATTAAAATTATTAAATTTCTTGTAATTGAATAATATAAATAACAATTCATTATAAATAGAACATCAACTGTTTTATAGATTGATAATAATAAGTTTATAACAGTCCCAAGGGTTTATCAGATGGTCACTTCAGGGAACTATTCATATATCAGAGGTAATTGCATAGATATGCTTTTGTGATGGCAGTGCAGAATTTGGCTTCCATAAAACAGACCACAGTTTGACACTCTAGGCCATAAAGCACTTTAAAGGACACTGGGGCCATGTAGTGCTGTACTTCCGATCTGTTTTAATAGACTGCAGTATAAGCAAAGAGCAACACCCATGGGCATGTGAGCTAACACTGAGGACTGCCATAAATCTGCATTTAATTAAAGGAACATCATATATGAAGAAAATAATTAAATTAAGTCTTATTCTGCATAACTGCAATTATGAAAGGAGGAAAACAATATGCTTTATGTAACATTAAAAAAAAATTAAACAACTAAACTATTCCTTAGTCTCAGAATTTTTATAAATACACACTGTACAAAATCACACACTGGTGATTTAAATAATAATATAGTAAAGAAACTGGCAAGACTTCCATTTTTAATTATTACAAATAGAAAAATTTCTAAAAGGGAAATAAAATTCAGTTAGATTCAACAAATTTTCCAAAGAATTTTCATTATTAAAAAATTTTTCCATTACTATTTCATTCAAAAGTGCTGCTTATTGTCAAAATAAAACATGATTTACATAAACGGCAGTTTTGAAGGAAACAGAAGTTACATCTTTACAAAGATATAAGCTAGAGCAAAAACTAATTCATATGTCTTCTCACATAAACAGTAAGTAATTAATCTCAGTTATAGAAACCAAGGCTTCCCATAAACACTACATAATTTATGTCATCATAAGTTATGGCATATTTAAAAGGAATATCAAAGGCCCTTTATTAGATATATTATAAATACAGCTACTCATCAATCAAACAATTAATATTCATATTTTATTAAAGTTTATAAATTTTTTCAAGTATTTCAGTGCTCAAATATGGAATAATTTTAGCTGTATGAAATGTATTTAATTACATGAAATGAATTTTTATCATATAAATTCTTTGCAGGATGGGTGACTGAGAATTGAAAATTCAGATTTTGAATGAATGATGTCCACATGAATTCCAAAAGTTTTATAACAGTGTTTTTCCTGACACTAAGAATTGATATTATTTTTAAATGTTTAATTTTTGTGTGCGCATGAGTCTAGATGTTTAACTCAATGAAAAGTAACCCCCAAAAGGTTTAATTTTAAAAAAAGATCTTTGTTAAAGCTGAACAGCACTTTTTAACAATTAAAATATTATTGATGAGTACAGCGAACACCATCATGTGATAATAAATATGTACATCAATTTCAATAGTTCAACTAAGCAAAATTCAATATACATTTTGCATTAATTTTATTAGAAGAGTCCTGCCTACATTGATTAGAAATACAATAATACTTTCACTGAAATGAACGAAAAAACTCCTCTCAGAATTGCTTTTACCATATTCGTGAAGCTGCTGACAGTATTGAACATATGTTCAAAGAAAAATGTTTGTTCTCTACTTGCTTTATTGTGACACGTTTTACAACCACACTTCTTAATGCAAAAGACCTTAACACATTAATAATTAATACAAATAGAATACTTTGGCTGGCATATCACATACATTTATCTCTGGTAGGTGTATCAAATAAACTGGGATATCATAAAGAAACAAATTTTACAAACATTATACCATTTTCCTTCCCAATGACATATAAGAAAACAATATAAATTTTAGTAATAATCTGGAAGAGGTTATTTTGCAAATTAAATCAAAATGTCGACGCCTTTTTGTCTTTTTTTAATTTTAATTTTTAGTCTTCTACTTTAAATGTAACATTGAAACTGAATATGCTTCACATTTGAAGTATAAATAAAACCTATATAATTTTAAATTAATCTATATGACTTGAAAATTTAGCATTACTTAGAACACTATACATGGTTCAAAAATTGAACTAATTCATTTCACAATGCTTTAATACATATTACTTTATGAACATTTTGGTTAATCTCTTTTGTTAGAAAAGTGGCCAAGATTTTCAATAACTTTATTAGAATTTTTCTAACAGGATTGATTATTACATTTTACAAAAAAAGTTAAAATGTAATACTGAAAACCTAAATTACAGAATGTGGGAGGAAAACAAGATTCAGATACAGTTTGAATAAAAATAAAAGAACTTAAAATTTTATAACAAAACACACACTGCTGTTTTTAATAACTTTAATAACACAAAATTATTGGACATTTAATGACTATTATTAAAAATCATAAATATTATTTATTGAGTATTATTCAAAATTTCATTCAACTCAAGTCTTACTGGGGAAGAAAGGATAAGCATTTCAAATATTCAAATAAGTTGAACACATTTAATCTACAAAGTTTTCTGTACATGTAACATTTAATATGAATTTCATGAACAGTGAAAATGATGAAGATATATTCATTCTTAAGAATGATTTTTATAATATTGACATTTTTCAAATCATATTAAGTAACATTTGAATTCCTTATAAATCTAACATACATTTGTTATAGGTCATCCTTTCTACATTGACTACACTATTCAACAAAGATTTTTGTAAAAAAATGTCGTAAAAAAATCACACCCATGCTTCGTCTCTCATACATAAATGAAATATATATTTACACAACGAAAATGATAAAAAATGTATAACAATGAAAAATAACATGATATCATGTGGAGGCAGGCATATGGTTAGCTATGTTGTACTAAATTCTATTGCATATGTTGCTTAATCATCATCAGGTGTTTCACATTTTTCCTTTTTATATGCAGGGCCATATTTTGACATGTATTTATGAATAAAATCCCTCGCTTTGTGCTTTACATTATCATTGCATTCTAGATCTTCAACATTTTTGCAGTGTTTTAATTCCTTAGCCATAACAAAATGTGTGAGCTAAAGACAAAAAAAATTAGCACATAAATAAAATAATAAAAAAAATACTAAACAGGCAAATCTATAACATGTAACAGTATCTAGATAACTGAAAATCATATTAACGCATAAAACTCGGGCAATACATAAAATTTACAATTTTAATTTATTAATATAAAGTTTAAATCATTAATTAACAAAATCAAGAATGATTAATATTTAAAGTATATGAATTAATTAATAACTTCATACCACCAGTTAACCACTAAAACAGGTTAAGTACACAGCCTTTCATCAAAAGTAAGTCTACACCACATGCTTATTAAGTTCTGCTATTTTTACTTAATTTCCTAGTTGAACTTATTTTCATAATGACAATTATTTGAATTTTAATAATTAGTGCTTGACATTTACTGCTTACTGCAGAATAGCTTGACAACAGTCTTTCCGCTGACGACAGGTTAGTGGAACATGCAGTATCACTTGCATATACACTTTTTTGCCAAAAAAAAAAAAAAAAAAAAAAAAAAAAAATCGAAGCACCAAGAAGGACTTTTGTGATTGTGACGAAATTTGGTATGCAAAAACATCTTGATCGAACATGCAAATGATCAAAGTTTCAAGGCAAATGAACAGGAATTGCAATCATGGCATGCATTTCTAGTTCACAATTTGCAAAGGATAAAATCAGTAACAGGGGTGGAAAATTTATCGTTTTTTGCTGCTGCCATAGTCATTCCATAAAGAAGCAACTAAAGATGCCATTACAACGATATCGAAGACCTTACAGACAACTACACGTCTTCAAACGTGGTCACATTGTAGGGTTGCATGAAAATGGGTGGACATACCGAACAATAGGCTGCCACCTGCAGCGTACAGACACTGCTGTGCAAAGATGCTTGCTACAAGAAAATTGCTGAAGAAATGAAGGCCCTGGAAGGCCAAGGAGCACAAATGCGAGGCAAGCTAGAATGATTGTTCACCAGGCCCGAACCGCCCCAACGGTATCATTGTCGACTTTTCAATGCACTACAGCCACGTTTATACCTCCTGTGGTACTATCCACCATCTCACATAGCTTGTCTGAGGTGGGGTTATGCTCCCAGAGGCCTTTCTGGCATTTGCCTTTGACCCCACAACATCGGCGAAGTCGCCTGGAGTGGTGTCACAACCGATCATCATGGCTGCCATCAGACTGCCATCATATAGTGTTCAGTGATGAATCCCACTTCACCCTTGAAGCAGATGACCACCATGTTTGTGTCTGGAGAAGATGGGGTCAGTGGTCCCAATCAGCCTTTGTTTTACAAAGGCATACAGCCATAACCTGTGGTGTGGGGCACTATTTCTTATGACAGCAAATCATCTTTAGTCAGCCTCCATACATCTCTAACAGCTCAACGATATGCCGATACCATCTCCGGCCGGGATGCATTAAACTTCATTACACGTCGGCCATTTTCCAACAAGATAATGCCAGGCGACATACCGCTCACATCTCTTGACTGTGTGTGTGTGTATTTAATTATGGCAAAGCACACGAGGGCTATCTGTCTAAGGGGAGGGATGCCTTTCGTGGAGGACTTTCTAAGGGAAACTGGCTCGTATACACGTTACACATGGGGAAAACCACGAAAACGCCCATGCAGCCAGCCCGTTCGCGGGATTCGAACCGCGGACCGAACTACCAGTGTTCAGCGACTTTACCGCTCGGCCGCTGGTGGGCCCATCTCTTGACTGTTTTCATGTGGTTGATACTCTTCCTTGGCCAACAAGGTCACCAGACCTTTCACCAATCGAGTGTGTTTGGGACATGGTAGGTCACCAGATTCGGGCACCACAAAATATCGCAGATCTGGAGTAACAACTGATGAACACCTGGCAGAATGTGTCTCACGGGGATGACTTTAGGAACCTCTACCATTACTTGCCTCGATAATTCAAGCATGCATTGCTGTGGGGGGGGTCGACCAACTAATAATTTGAACACTCAATGGGTGATTGTGAGCCATGAATAGGTACTATGACCTTGATTTTTTAATCATTTTATTATCTGTGTATGAGCTATACACATATTTAATTTCATCAAAAACAATAACTTCTTTCATGATGCTTCAGTTTTTTTGCAAAAGAGTGTATTTAACATGCCTGCCACATATTATATGCTTTGGATTGAAACTTTTAATAAAAGGGCCATTTATATTAGAAAATACAACTTTTAGTATCAAAAGTTAAGGAACCAAATTCTTCATAAAACTCATTAGTTTTAAGATACTGCAAAAATTCTGAAAATGTACTCATTTTTATACCAACTTAAATGTATATATCAGCAACATAAAATACAAACAAAAATTATAACTGGCTAAATGAACGTTTTGTTTTTCAGACTAGAGTTATGGGGTTTTTTAGCCCCCAGACATGTAAAAGGGCATTATTTGAAAAACTGCACTGCATTAACTTAAAATAAGCAAAAATTATTATTAAATCTTAACCTCATTACCCTTTGTTGAGAAAATGTTTTAAATAAATAATAATTAAATAATCTGTTTCTTTCCACAAACATAATATTGCTATAATTGAAGTTAATTTACTTTAAAAATCAAACCTTTTCACTAAATAAACAATTTATTACAACATGTAAATGTCATGTCACTATTTTCACAATGTAATTCTTACAAAGAACTTTCAGGTAATGGTCTTGTCATTATTAATATTCTTAAAGAGGCATTTGCATCCACTTCATTTGTTATGTTGCAATCTACTGAAATTTTATTTTGTACAATTTCTATAACTTACTGGTATTTTGTAAAATATTTAAAAGAATGCCATGCATGAAGAAACAATTGAAAAAACTGGAAGATTTTTGGCAATTTTATCTAATGCATTAATAAGGCACCTACCTTTCTTGCTAAGTGTTTAAAATCATCATTATTTGTAATCCTTCCAACTCTACATTCCTGCCGACGATATGGATTTAAACATTCAACAACAAATTTTGACATTTTTGTCCTAAAAAGTTCCTTTATCTTTTTTGCTATTTCTACAGTAACAGGGTTACCACTTGAATCAACTTTCAGTTGAACAATTGCATAATTTTTCTTCTTTGACTATTAAGAATGAAATTAAACAAAAAAAAAAAAAAAAAAAAAAAAAAAAAAAAGTAAGGAAAATATGCACTAAGAAATCAGCAATATTTATCACAAAGTGAAAGGAAAAAATGTTTTTCTTTGTAAACTAAGTTTAAAATCAGTTAGAAAGCTCTAATGATGCAACCATTATAACTTGATTTTGTTTAACTTTCTAAACAGCTTAATATCAAATACAGACATAAAATGATAAATTTAGCTTTACATCAACTAATCAAAAACTATTTTAATATGTACTAATTTTTGATACATTTTAAATTTTATTCCGCTTATGAAGAGTTATATAATTATTTAGCTACAGCAGATTAGAGTTCATACAGTGAATGAGTTACAAATCTGATAACGCACAGATAACTTATGCTGATTTAGGACTTCATTTTTAAGATAAATGCTATGAACTAAGTTATTAAATAAAAGCTGTAAAAGTAACACGCTGTTTATCCTTTCATTTTAAATTTGTCATAACATATTACAGAATAAAAATGAATAGGCAAACATAATAAATTCTATATCTGCTTTAGCTTCTGACTCTTTTAGAAGTTGACCAAATAAAACGTACAACATGATTACATATACAGCATTTAGCCTTGTGAACAAACATAACTGAGTGACATAAACAAATGCTGAGTAACTTTTGGAAAAAAAAAGTCTTTTTAACACCACAGATAAAATGCATTCTTTGTGGCCTTACATTACATTGTTATAGTGATGCAATACTGCAGTTCATTCATCTGACGAATTTCATCATGTGTAAATATAATTTAAAAAATTCTAGATCACATTTATGATATTAATTACAAAACTGCAATATGCTGACCAGATTGAGATACATAAAGCGTTCAAGACAGATGGTTATAGGTAATATTTCTACAAATATTGATACAAAACAATCATTTCCAATTAGAAAGTTTCTTAAAATAAGACAAAGAATATTATGAGTTATGTTGCAGAATTGGAAATACAAGAGTTATACACATAATATAACATTTAAATGCTTTTATGATACCTGAAGAGAAGAGTGTAATTAGTAAAATGTTCATTACACACTAATAACTTAAGTGCAAAAATTTCTGCACTTTTAGTATACATAATTTAGTGAGAGATCACTAGTTTAGATTTGCTTGTGTACACACTAATAAATTAAATGCACAAAATTCTAGAGATTTAGTATAGATAATTTAGTGAGAGGTCAGTAGTTTAAATTATTTGTGGCCAGCTACAATGTCAGTAGCTACTGCTGCTTTCTCCAAAGTGGTACTGTAAGTTGACAAAACAAACTACTTTTATTTTATAGTTGTTCCCTAAATTTTCAGAATATTAAATTTAAGTTGAAAATACATCATTACGATATCAACAAATACTGCGCATAAAAACATAGAACTTTTTTATGTTTAACTCATTAAAGCGTAATGAATATTCTACTAGCCAAAATTTTGCTTTTGAAAGTCGTACAAAAGCTTGTTTTTTAGTTTAGGGAACATTTCCAACTACAATGTTGAAACAGTTCTCAAAACTCTCTTATTTGAGAAATTATGCTCTTAGATGGATGTACTTAAGACTAATATTTAAGGAAATAAAACCTGCAAAAGTATTTTTAAATAATCTGCGTAAATATATATAAAAGCAGAATTGAAAAATTTCAAAGGGAATCTAACATCAGGAACAGAAAAACAGTCTTACCTTTTATTATGCTATGAAAATAATATGGTGTGATTAAACTGGAAATATTAATAAAAAGGCAATACTTATTAATTACCTGAGACAACTTTAGAAAAGCTTCATATCAACTAATATGTCATCACACTTAAGACATAGAAAGCCTATTGGTATATTGACTCACAGCTATTACGTAAATGGTCTGAATATGGTATTGATGCATAGATAAACTATCAGATAAAGGATGCAATGAAAATCCATAAAAGGATACATTGTGTGCCATAAATTCATTGGAATTTACCACAAAAGAAAATTAATACTTATTTTAAGAGCATTAATTTTTTTTGTGACAGGCGCTTCAGTCACCTACTTTGGAATGCTGAGCTAACATGATGTGCTGGCTTATTGGGATGGCAATTTGCACTGCTAAGCCTCTTTGGAGGAAAAAATTCACCTGTGGCATAATTATTCCAATTTTGGGCACATAATGAGTAGTTGCAGTTGCCAGAATTAATTTGAAAACTTAATTATTATATTTTCCTTAGCACTTGAAGTATAGAAGGTGTTTTGCTAAACGATACACAAAATATTCACTATAATGCTAGCCAAACTCTAAGAATAATGAATAAAACCTCTAAAACAATACAGCATATAGCCCCGTATCACCAATAATAAAGAAAAATGTATTCGGAAGCATCGAGAACACCACATGTTTATATCAACTAATGCACTTAATAGCCAGCTAGCTCTGTTTATTTACATTACTCAACCCATGACTTCACTTTGATTATGAAACAATATACCAAAAATAGAAAGTAATGCAATGAAACGAAGATCAACATTTTTCCAGTTTCAATACATTCGACCATAACAGATATAGGGTTACATCTAGCGGGGGGGGGGGAAGATACTAGTTAAAAGCTTTATCTAAAAAAATTATATGTGGTACTATAAGGTATTTCTCCTGCTTTCTTAGCATGCCTTCATAGTGTAGTGGTCTGCATGCTGAGCGCATATTCCAGGGGTCCGTGGTTCGATTCCCGGTGAGGGCGTTGCTCATTTTTCATCTCTCCTGCTTTGAAATAACCTAATGTCTCTACAGTGGTGCCCGAACTAAAAGGGTGGTGGATGATGATTCTCCTCTCCACCCTCAGGATTTGGTGATTGGGTCCCCTACTTCCCAGTTGCCCTTCAAAAGAGGGAGTATATAAGGTATTTCACACACCTTCTTAGTGTAGTGGTCACTACGATGGGTGCATATTCCAGAGATCTGTAGTTCGATTCCTGGCAAGGGCGTTGCTAACTTTTCATCACTCCTGCTTTAAAAGTAACCTAATGACTCTACAGTACACCCGTTCTAACAGTCAATTTAAATGGCGATTCACATGGCATAACTCTGATATATAGCTGGCAGCTGATGCATATGTGACACACTCGCCCTGAAAGGGTTAAGCAGTATAATACAATTTTTTTGACAAGATTCATCAAATTCACCATTTAGTAATGTAATAAAGCAGAGACTAGATGCCAACTACTTATAAAAAATTCCATTCAACTTAACCCTACAGTGCAAATTATAAGCATTGCCTGCCCTAGTTCTCAGCAGCAGCTTTAATTAATCATGAAAAAGCGGACTGATTAACTCGAGGGATGCCTTGACAGAGGACTGTCTAAAGGAAATTGGCTTGTATCCACTTTATACATGGAAAAAAACACAAAAATGTTCATGCAGACAGTGGGTACACTGCAATTCAAACCTAGGTAGAATTACCAGTATTCAGTAACTTTATCACTTGCTCACTAGCGAGCCCACAGCAGGGAACAAAAATATTTCACATCCTGGGAAAAGGAGCCTTTTTTACTTAGTAACATAAAAGCAGCTAAACTTCTGCATTATAGGTATTCTTTAGATCTAGCACCCTGGGTAACAACCTACATCATTACCCTTTACTTAGGCAAGTAACTCTACATCAAATTCAGCATTTAAGATTTATACCTGCTATATTTATGACACCATTTGAATACCATGTACGGCAATAACTGTTGGTAATTCATGTAAATAAGTTCTAAGCAATTTCATTTACAATTGCAAACAGTCTAGAAAATAAGCATCAATCAGCACTTCTTTTAAATTAAACTAATATTACAGATAGAATACAACAGTCCTAACAAAAAAACTACAGCAACTTTTGCTGAAACTGAGATCAGTTGCTACTATGGACGTGTCTGAAAATTTAATCAAAACATTATGGCTTAAGAAGCTGCCTGATTCAATGAAATACATATTATTAGTGATGAAGCTGTAACAACGTTAGCTTCTATGGCAGATAAAATTAGTGATATGAATCAGATGCCAGAAGCAGTTAGTGCTAATGAACTTTCCACTTCCATAAATGATTTGTTACATTAAACTGACTCTCCTGTACAAAAAATTGATAAAATAGCCTTTCGATCAAGACACAAGGATTTGGATTCCTGTAACTCCTATTCACAATATCAAAGGCGATCTTGTAAACGATATGATCCAAATGGTAAATTTTGTTTCTATCACTTTCGATTTGGAGCAAAATGCATTCCAGAGAAATGTCGGCCCTCATGTGCATGTATAAACAACCACCCTCCAAAATAGGAAAACTCAAATCTCCAGTAAATGCAATGGCATACTCTTGTGCAAAAAATATGAAGGACTATCACAAACTTCATTTATTCGTTTGTGACCGAAGATCAAAATTGCACTTTATTGTTAATGGTGGACCTGACATTAGCATAATTCTAGCTAGTCCTCAGAATGAATGTAAAACTGAATACAAATTGTATGCAGCTGACTGCACAGATATCTTCACATATGGCACAAAAACACCAACTCTTGATTTGGGATTATGCCATGATTTTCAGTTAATATTCATAATTGCTGATGTCATAAAAGTTATCTTAGGAGCTGACTTTTTCATGAATATAACTGACTTATTCATATAAAAAAGAAACAAAAAATAATCGATGCTGTAATGCAGGATCTAGGGTGATAATGCTGCTATTTCAAGTGATAACTACATAATCACATTAAATAAATCCACAAAAATTTTCGATTTACTGTTGAAATATCCAAAATTTCTAAACCTAACATTTTTAATACACAAATTAAACATGGTGTTACAAATTTTATTATGACTGATGGTCAACCTATTTATTTAAAGACACATGACAGTTCAATCTAAAATGATTAACGATAGCTAAAAAGGAATTTAAATTTATGCTTGGCAATGGAATAAATCCTCCATCAAACTCCCAGTGGTCAAGCTCCGCACCTTGTTACGAAAAAGGATGATCCATATTGGCCCTGTAGAGACTACAATCGACTTGCTGCACAGATGATACCTAATCGGTATTCAATCCCTTGGATTGAAAATCTTCATCATATATTAAAAGGCATGAATATTTTCTTCCAAACTGATTTGTTCAAAGCTTATTTTCAAACTACCATAACAGAAGAAAAATGTAAAACAGCTATCATCATTCCTTTCAGTTTGTATGAATTTAATGTAATGCATGTCAGTTTAAGAAATGCTCCTGCAACATTCTAGTGTATTATTCAAAGTCTTTATAGGATTAGAACTCGTTTCTCACTATTTAGAAGACATACTTTTTGCATCCAGTACTCATGAAGAACATGAAAATCACCTTAAATTAGTTTTTGAAAGATTAAACACCTTAGGCTTAAGAATAGATATTTCAAAGCCTGTTTTCGCTGTTCAACAATCGGTCTTTTAGGATACCTAATTACACCTCAGGGTTCCCATCCTTTTCTCCAAAGAGTTCAAGCAATTATCAACTAAACGACCAGAAACAATTCATGAACTTAAAAAATGTTTTTGGAAGACATAATTTTTATCATTGTCACTTAGAAGATGCAGCCAAGAATCAAGCATTGTTACACGAGTGAGCTAAAAGGAGGGACAAATCTAAAATTTAACAGACTGAAGAAGCTGGAAATCAGTTTGAAAAGTTCAAGAATAACCCGGTGAACATCGTACTATTGTCTTTTTCCAATTCTGAACTACCTCTGGCATTATTTACAGATGCTTCAGATATGGCAACTGGCTCAGTGTTGGAACAATACAAAAACCCATCTTGGAAACCAATAGCATATTTTTATGAAAAATTAAAACACATTCAGCAAAAATTTAGCACCTATGCCTGTGAAATGTTAAGCATATATCTTTCTGTTAGACACTTTAAGTATTATCCAGGTGGAAGAACATTTATCATTTATGTAGAACATACACCCTTGATATTCACCTTTTGTCAAAAACTTGACAAAGCAGCAACTAGACAAGTTAACCAACTTCATTATGTCCCCCAATTTTTGACTGATATCAAATATGTAAAATATGAGAGCAATATTGTAGCTGATACATTATTTAGGGTTAATGAAATTTCATCAACAGATTATGATAAAGCAGCTGATCAACAAACTCGTTGAACTGAAGAGTTTGCAAACAACTTCTTCCATGAATTTAAAGTAATATTCTCTACCTCTGGAGAAATATATGTGGTGTGATACATCAATTAAAGATATTCGGCCATATAGTCCTCAAGCTTTCAGAAAACAAATCTTTCAACAAATTCATGGTTTATCAGATCCAGGAATAAAGTTGACTATAAAACTAATGACACTGAAATTTATTTGCCCAACACTAGGAAATTGTATACAGTTGTGCACAAAAGCATGCATGCCTTTCCAAACAGCTAAAATCAGCTGGCATACCAAATCAAAATTAGGTGATTAAGATACAATAACACACCAAACAAATATTAATTTAGAAGTCAAACAACAAAAATCAGCGTTATCTTTTCAAATAGGATCACTTCCCCAATCGAAAAGGAATATTTACGGCCTTACTTGCACTGACAGATTTTTGAACTGGATGGAAATAGTTCCTTTTCAGATGATATTTCAGTTGATGCTGCAGCCAAGAGCCTTTTACAGAAATCGGATTGTGCATTTCGGAAAGCTAAACAAATTCATTAGCGATCATGAATCCCAATTTAAATGTGACACATTTGAAGATTTGTCCAAAATCTGTGGCATCAATTTGCAATATACTACTACTTCCAACCCCTCATGTAATGGCAAAAGTCAAGCACCTTTATTAAGCACAGCATTAAAAGCTAACAATAACCTGTCTTGGACTGACAGATTATGAAAAATACTTCTGCATTTGAGCCATCCAAAAGGATTAAAGCACATTAAAAATCTTTTAAATAGTTTTTCATTAGGCTAGATCTAAACATATACTTAAATACACATTTAGAAATAATTAAAGCATTATTAAAAATTTTTCATATGATAATTACTACCTTCAGAAAATAAAAACTATCAAAACTTAACTAACTTTTTAAAAATAACCCAAGAATAATTATCTGTTTGAGATTTTGAACCTTCTACAAGGAAAGTGTACACTGTAGAAGTAAGCTTTATTTTGGCTTAACTGAGACAAAAACTAATGTGGTGATGAAAATAAAATATCACTTTATACGTAAAAACTAAATTAAAAGACACGGTACAAAAAATCATATTTGAAAATGATGTATGCTGCCAAATTATTTGAATGTCATAAATTTTACCTTTTTATGGGATCTACGAGAATGTTTTTCATGTTTATGTTCCTAGAAATACAAGTAATAATTAATGTCCTTTAAAAAAAAAAAAGAAACAAAAGAAAACAATAAAACACAAAAGCAAGATATTAATTCTTACTATTTTCCGCTAGTGTACTTTTCACAAGATAAGTAGTACAAATTGAGAAATGGGTGTAAATTAGCAGCATGAAACATAAAATGCAAAAATAAACATAAAATAAGCAAACTTCTCTATTTTCTGTGACGAATTTGTGAAAAACTATGAATTGTTCACTTCCATTTATTACATTAACTTCTTATGAATGCACAAAAATAATTAACATACAAACATACTATTTTGGGTTCATCGTATGAAGGAGTTCCATCGTCAATATTTTCAGAGCTTTCATCAAATTCTGGTGGATCCCATTGTGTTTGCCTACAGAATTAATAACAAATAGAAATTATGCACAATTTCATGTAAACAGAAACAATATGCAATTTTTATATTCTAACTTGGTAAATAAACTAGAATTATAGAAGGGTTATTTTTAGTTGGTGAAATAATTGAATACATTTATGGTAAAAACAACTACCTCAAGTACACTTTACATTGGAAGGAAATGGAAAATATTAACCACTGCATTTAAATCAGCTATTACTATTATTCTTCATTATAAATAAGACAACACAATGAAAGGATGTAGCCAATGCATTGAATTTATGATCAGAAAATATTTAAAGTAGAACCACACCACAGATTTCAACACTTTTAATATCTCTTATATTACTTTCAGATGAATATTGTTATATTTATTATTTTTTAATCTGAGACAAATGTCTCACTCATCTTGCTGGAGGCATGGCTTTGACGGAGAAATCTTGTGATGTCACATTTTAAGAAAATTTGTTCAACTGAATATGAAAACAATATTTATTTTCTTTTCAATAACCAGGTGCTTGATGGAAATATCCCTAAATTCATCTATCATTTTACTAACTTAATTATCATTTTACTAAAATAAAATACTATCTAATTATTATTTTACTAAAATCAAGACTGCATCCAAGGATAAACCAATATTAATCTCAAAAAGAGGGGGTATGAATGATAAACAGTGAAGTTAAACAGTGTTCTCAGCCTGGCTTTGTTGGTTATTTGATTATGGCAAAGCTCATGAGGGCTGTATGCATAAAAGGAGGAATATCTTTGAGGAGGTTTTTCTGGCTTTCATGTTATGCATGGGGAAAACCCCAAAAACCAACTATGCAGCCAGACTGTTTGCCTGGTTTTGAGTCCATGATGAACTACCAGTACTCGTTAAGTTCTCAATCTGGCAGTAAATTTCTGAAAACCATCATTCTGCGATAGATAAGAGATTAATATGAAATAAAGTAATCTGTCCACCAAAGGCTTCCATTATTTTTCCTAAATAACCATTTGATTGGAAATATCAAAACTATTTCCAAGCTATTTTAAAATATATCACATTTGTTAATTTCTTCATTGTATCTTATCTGTACTGCACATTTAATCTGCAATCAGTGAACTGTTACATGAAACATGTTAGTTGCTCACGAACTTTTGGCATGCTTATTATCTACAATAAGATGATTTTCAGGGCTACACTGAATTCTGGCCACACTTTTCTGGCTCAACATTTATTATCAAAATTTTATTTTAGTTAGTTCACAGTGAGAAAAAAGATATACATTCAACTCCACAAACAGTCAACTCAGTTACAGTGAATATCTGACTACAGTAAAATGAAACTGCCTGCATCGATCCATATAAATAGATAAGGTTTAAATTACACCCTTAGTTTTGGTTACAGGGAATAAAAACTCTAAAATGGTAAAAAAATAAATAACTTGTAACTTATTTCTGAGTACACTTAGTCATAAGAGTTTGAAACAATGAGAGTAACATTATAATGATTCCAAAAATATTAACACGTCTCACTAGTTTTCTGGAATGAGTTATTATCAATCTTTTGTAGTTATCTGACTATTTCTCTTAATCAAGAAATATATTCCCATTTTCTATTTAGTAAGTATGCACCCCTTACCTACAAGAGATTTATTCTTTGTTATGCAGCTATTTTGCCATTAGGACTTGTGTAACTATTGGTACCTGTAATCCGATTCCACCCAAGGACTGAAACTGAACAGTTTTAGAGCTATATACAGGTATAAGAGAGAATTAACCATTTCAGTCAAGTAGGCTATTTATAAACTTTCACACAATTTATGCATTGTAGGTTGGCAGGGTAGAAGTTAGTAATGAGTTACTGAAATAGGGTGCCTCATACATGCATCCCTTAGAATACGAGATCCTATGTGAATTCTGATGGTATGTTAAATGGATTTGGCTATTCATGTAAAACAGAGGCTATTTTCTCACATCAAAACCGATAATGCAGTCCTTTATATTCTGGAACTCTAGTAGTAAGTCATAGTCATTAATGCCACAACAGAGAATTGAAAGGTAATGGAAGCGATTCCCATGTGCTGACTTTCAAAGGAACTGACTATATGCACAGTATATAAACTACTCCACACACGCAAAGCACCACTAGTCAGTACATACCTTGCCAGTTCAGTTCTATGTTAGAACAATCAGAATGCGAATGCATGAGGTGTTTTCTTTGGGAGATAAAGTGAATATTCCCAGTGATACTGAGAACTTTCAAAAGCATGCATACACCAAAAAGCCATTATATTACGACAGTCCCTTACCTAGAGCATTCAGCTTACCTGATGACAAAACCATGGCCCCAAGTGGTTGATGCTAGAGTACATAAAGTGCCCATGCACTGTTTTTCCACATATAGAATGTTTGCCAACATAATGCGAAAAGCAGCTGATTTATCAGATTTCGATAAAAGTCAAATCGTTATGGATAGGTGCCTGGAAACATCAGCTTCATTTGGTGGGCTGCTCACCTGCAGCCATTGTGAGTACTTATTGAAAGTGGTGTATGAATGATGAAAATACAAGTTGCTGGCCAGCAGTTTGGTGGCCATGACACATTGATTCCAAAGAAGAGTGGACTGTTATATATTGTTTGCCATGACCAATAGGCTAAAAAAGGCCATAATTACTAGCAGCTACAACAGTGGCTACCATTATAGTGCATCTCAGCAGACAGTACAATGTACACTGCTGAATAGCATCCATGTCTGATGGGATGTCATCACCATCAGTGCCTCTAATAGGTCGTGGAACAGCACTGGACCGTAGAAAAATGGAAGAAAATCATCTGGTCCAATGAATCATGCTTTCTGGTCAATCACAATTACGGACAAAGGACAAATATGCTGATTTTCTATGGAAACCATGGCTCCCAGTCCCACAGTAGGTCAGATACAGGGCAGTAGCAGCAATAATAATGGTGTGGGTAATGTTTTCATTGAGCACACTAAGACCCGTCATTCCCATAGAACAACCCTCGATGTCTGCACAGTATGTGACCATTACTGAATACTAGGTGCACCCCTTCATGGCAATAGTGTTCTCAGCGGGTACTGGTATTTACCAACAAGACAATGCACCATGTCAAAAGAGCCAAATCATCAGGGAATGGTTTGAGCAACATTCTGGTGAATTTCAAGGCTCGTTTTGGCCTCTGAATTCACGTGACATGAATTCAATGAAACATTTGTGCTTTGACTTGAGAAAACGAATTCATACTGCCATGCTACTTCCTCGCAATGTGCACAAATTGCAGGACTAGTTGGCCACTGCCTGAAACTAGATACCATTACCTATTGGCACCTTGTGAAGTCAATGCTTCTGTTGATGGTTTTGAGGGAGAAAGGTAGTCTTACTTCATGTTAAACAGGTGGTCATAATGTAATGCTACTTCAGTGTATGTAAAAGGTACGTCTTAAGCAAATCACGTTTCCATATTTTTAGGAGTCTTTCTCATCTAGCACGTGCACATGATCAATACTGAACAGCTACCCAAATTACTGGACAAAAACCACAAGTTCAAGTATTAAGAAGGATGGTTGGGCAGATAAAAGAAAAGGCACAACATTACACTTAGAAAGATCAGCAAGGAAATAAATGGTCTATGAATCAATAAATGATAATAGTGTCCAAGTTAGAAATAGCTCAAACTCTGACTGGTATAAATACCTGCAGTGAAACTCTGGCTTATACCTGAATGGCTGGTATAAATCATTCTAAGATTCATACCAGCCATTCATTTGAGAGTATGTTAAACGGCAAAGAGACTAAATAATTTTGAAAGAAGTTTAAACAGGAATAGTGTAAAAATGATAAACGTTGAAAATCCAAGAAATGCTGTGCATATGTGCTCACATGTCATGTTCAGAGAAAATGAAACACTTAGCAACAGGGAAATTAAAGAATCATAGATGTTTCAAAATTTCAAGCAATTCTAGGTGAATTATTAGGTAAACATTTAAATTTAACATGACATCGCCCATTTTTCAAGAAGTTCCGTAAGGCCAAAGACTGAAAAATCCAACTTCTGATTCAGAGGGGTGCAACCCATGCATCAAAGTTGGTTTCACAGCTTTTAAAACCTTTTAGACAATAAAAGTAATGCATTATTTAATTCAAGTCTTGAAATCACAGCAAATAACATCAATAAATATTATGGATGCCATTTATTCTGCTAATTAAACATAGAGGAGAGTCTCAAAGGTCATAATACAAAACTCTTTGAGGCAGGCTGATTTGAAAGAGGATGCAAAGAATTCAAAGTTGTGTTTCCAAGAACCTGCTTCACTATATCAATAAAAATTCCAATGAAATGGAAAATTTCATCAATGCTTAATGCTAAGTTATAACAAGTAAAACCCTGACACATGAAATTATTGTTATGATTGAAGGGCAGTTCCATCATGAACAATGACATTCAGAATGATGAGAAAGATAATGGAGAACATGCTTCAACAGTGAAAAAGGTATTGGGGGGTGTCAAATCTAAGCTCCCTAGATTGTAGAAAATGTTGAAATACTCTAAAGGATGTACAGAATGTATAAATTAAAAATATTAAAAAAAATAACAGATGTCAGTTGTCAACTGTCAAAGTGCCGATTTTGCACACATATTATGATAAGACCTTTCTATTCTAATGCACTGTGACCATGCAGGAAGCTCATGGATTGTTCACTTATCTTCAAAATTTAATTCTCTTGGTGTATTTGGTATGTTTCTCACTGCAGGTATGTCTTGATTAAATTTCTCCATCTCTCTTGTCAATGGTACTGTTTCAGTAGCTTTATGTGAATGTCAGACAGACAGCATCTTTCTTTTATCAGGAACTCCGGGATGGCACATAGTGTGTACTTCATATCAATTATTTCTTTCAATGCTAGATATGCAATTATAGATTATTATCAGGTCATCCCATAATTAATGTCCTCTTCTTCAACTTATTTGTGAAGATTGGCTGCCTTTCG